AGAGAGAGAGAGAGAGAGAGAGAGAGAGAGAAAGAGGGCGAATAAAAAAATAAAAGGGTTGAAGTCGGTGTATTTCGCTGCCGGCATCCAGCCGCCCTACATGTGTGACACTTTTCAGAATTCCGCGCTACCTTTTCTTCCCCCCGTTGTCTGGATTGCTTCTACATCCCCTCGGCCTCGCGCCACTCGCGAGCTAAGAAGAAAGTCCTTTCACAACGGTGTGTCGTGAAAAGCGCTCTGAACCGTGGCTTTCTTTCTTTCTTTTTTTCTTTCTTTTTTTCTTTTTAGAGAAATTAGCACGGATTCTTGGGAAAGAATTCCACAAGCATTCCGCGATGAAATTTTTCTTTGCTCGGTTGAAGGGAGGAGGAGATTCTTCTGATAAACGTATATATACAGGATTTATTTTATTCATATTCATTTTATTCATGGAATGGAATATTCGAGTCGATGCACGTTTATATTTCTAATTTCACCCCCACTTTTAGATCTTCCATTGATCTTTCAAGTTTCAACGAAAAGTCGATAAATTTGGAATAAATAATCTTTTCACAAATCGTAAAGAACGTAAAAACTGATATAATATGTAAGAAAAAGAAAAACGAGGAAGAATTCATCCATAATAAATTCGAGAAATCGAGTATATATCCTCTCTCTCGTGTATTACCCTCGCGTGTCCACGCACCGATCGAAGAATCAGAGCGTATCGTATCCTCAAACGAGGGAATCGCTCGACCACGGTAATCATATTCACGTTTAACCTTTGGGAAGTTTCGCGAATAGGGATCCACCGGTTTCGAGCACGTTCACAGCGTTCAAAGTATACGAAGGAGCTGGAGAGCAGGAGAGCCTTGCAATTTGCCATTACGATGTAATGCAAAGCTTGTTTCTGTCAAAGCTCGAGAATCGAATCACGAAAGAGGATTGAATTACACGAGTTCCACGAGTCCCGTTGCGAACGGTGTCGTAATACCGGATCTTGTCTTACTATATCGTAACGTCTCGATCTAATAATCACCAAGACTTCGTGCTAAGAAGCAAACCTGCTATCGTCATTATTCAATCTTTACTCTTTTTTCATTCTCTTTCTCTCTCTTTCTCTTTCGTTCTCATTATTGCTCTTTGTAGTGACGCGATAATAGAAAAAGAAGCTATCAATAATCGGAAACCGTGCGTCGTTCCCAGCGAACTTATTGGCCGTGCATTCTGAAAGATACGTATAATATATGTATACAGAATGAGTCATATTTTGAATAAATTTTTTAAATATATGTTCTACGAAAATGTGTTTTATAGAATGTCTTATAAAATCCTTCCGAAACAATTGATTTTTATTAAACATGATTTGTAAATAATTTGAAATTTCTGTTACTCTGTTACTCAAATTTTTTGTAGAACAGATACGTTGTTAAATTATTCAGAATGATACGAATTATATGACTTATCCTGATGACAACGCTCATACATGTACGAAACACATTGTTGGGATAATCCTTTAACGATGCAGAGACAAATTAATGAAGCGATACATAAAGGATCCGAAGCCGAAAAGAAATGGTAAACTTTTAAGACGTACCAGAAAGAGCTTGCGTGAGCAAGGGCGTGTTGTTGTTGGGGGTGAGCTGTCCGTTGGTAAGATCCACTGAAACATAAAACTCTGATCACAACTGCACCGCACTTCAATTGTATATACGCGATATACGCGCTTTCGCCACTCTCGTTTCACTGCCGCTCGGCAGAGAGTGAGAGAGGTTAGTAGTAGTATAATAACTGTCCATGGCTGATTAAAGGAGAGAGAGAGAATTTATATATATATATAAATATAAAAAAAAGAGGAAAAAAAATGGGGGAAAAAAAAATAAAAGAAATAGAGAGACATCGTGTATGATGCCAAAGTGATGGCCGAAAGGAAAACAAGAGAGACGTGATTTTTCCGTGTGTGTTGCTTTGTCGTTGATCCTCTCTGTACGCCGTGCGATGATCGAGCGAGCACGTTTCTCCTCCTGCGTCGTGACACTTTCGCGATCCCCGGATTATGAATCGTTCCTCTCCTTTCTTTTCATTCTTTACCAATGTTGGATCCATCGTGTACTTCCAATCCCGAACTGGAAACTTTCAGTTTCGAAACTCTCTCATGGATCATTACAAAAAAAAAAAAAAAAAAAAGAAAAAAAACTCGTCGTTACAATGGATCGTTTTCGTTCACACACGACGAAACCACTCGTAGCAGGGCACGTCGTAATCAAATCTTCGTTGATGAACGTAAATCGTATCATTTGGATATCTCTTTATCCCTTTATCCGTTATCGTGTTACGCATACGATACGATTTTACCTGAAAGTTTCTCGAAATATCTCTCTATATGGGCATCATCGATCCGGTTTGAACACGGTTTCACGGATGTTCGCGACCCCAGATCTCGTCGAATCGTCGCGATTTTATTTCTCGCTCGCGGGACCGATCGAGGCGGAAATGTATGAATCGCGATCAATGACGCGGAACAGAAACGTTCCATTCCCTGGTGGAACGTTGCCGAACGGAATGGTGGTGTACCCTTTGGAACAAATGGTGAAACCATCAACGAAACGTTTTCGTTTCATGGCCGCCGATAAACTGTAACGATAATGATCGATGTTTTGCGAGAACGTGAAATGAAAAGAAATGAGGAGGAGGTCGAGAAAAAGAGAGAAAGAGAAAGAGAGAGAGAGAGAGAGAGAGAGAGAGTGAAAGAGAAAAAGTTAAAATTTTTTAAAAGAAGGGAGAGACGTGGAGTAGAGATGAGCGTGGAAGAGAATCGCGAAGACGAGAGCGGACAAGAGAGACAGAGAAAAAAGGGAAAGAAGGCGTGTTCTTTTTTGTCTTTCTCTTTTTTTTTTTCCACAGTCCAAAGTGAATGTCGACCTCATACATTTCTTCCGGAGCGCAGTCCGTTGGACGTGTTGCATCGGTGTCTCCGTATACGCGCGGCTTGCGTTCTCGCTTCCGGTTCCGTGGTAGTACACTGCCGGCACTCCTGACATTAATAAAGAACAAGAAGAAAGCTGAGAATGTGGGAAGAAAAAAAATAAAAAAACGGGGACGATAGGTGTGGCGTGGTGATTAAATAAAAATAATCTTAAAATTCTCGCCGCTGAGATTGCAGTACGAGATAAAAATGTACGAGAAAAAATAAAATA